TTCAAGAGGCCCAACATTCATATTATTGGGGTGCCAGAAGGGGAAGAAAGAGAGCAAGAAATTGAAAACCTATTTGAAAATATAATTTCAGGAAACTTCCCCTACCTGGGAAAAGAAATAAACTTACAAGTCCAGGAAGCACAGAGGGTCCCAAACAAGAGGAACCCAAGGAGGTCCACAGCAAGACACATCATAACTAAAATGCCAAAGGTTAAAGACAAAGAGAGAATCTTAAAAGCAGCAAGAGAAAAGGACTTAGTTACCTACATGGAGCACCCATATGACTGTCAGCTGATTTCTCAACAGAAACCTTGCAGGCCAGAAGGGAGTGGCAAGAAATATTCAAAGTGATGAAAAACATGGAACTACAGCCAAGATTGCTCTGCCCAGCAAAGCTATCATTTAGAACTAAAGGCCAGATAAAGAGCTTCACAGATAAGAAAAAGCTAAGAGTTCATCACCACCAGACCACAGGAAATGTTGAAGGGTCTTCTTTAAGAAGAAGCTAATGAACAAAAGAATCTGACAAACTAAATAGATCCAGAGACACTGACACAGGCAACAATCATATTTCAGAGGAAAGAGGGAAGGAGGTTGGAGGGTGGGAAGAGATTAACCAAAGAAGTTATATGCATATATGCATAACCCATGGACACAGACAATAATGGGGTGAAGGCCTGGGGAGGAGGTGGGAGCGAGGTGGAGCGGGTCAGTTCGGGGGAAAAATGGGACACCTGTAATACTTTCAACAATAAAGATAAATTTTTTAAAAAAACAACATATAAAAGATTACAAAATTTACCCTACAGAAAAATGAACCAATGACATTGAGACATGTTTGAGACATCCACACAAAGCAGAGAACAGGACAAAAGGATAAAGATAATTTAGGAAAAAAGATAATAAATACAAGAGAAAGACAATAGGAAACCAAAATATAAGTAATTGGTATAAATAAAAGGACAGGCCTTATGGAACACAGTTTTTTAAACTTTCAAAGAGGTATGCTTAAATCTACAGATTTAAAGTACTCACTGTGTTACAGTTAAAAATTAATTAACTGCTCCACAAAATCATGTATAAATGTATTTACAGTTAATATCCTCTTTATTCAATTTAATTACTGTTTCCCAATTGCTTCATTGGCAGGAAATTTAGCATCTCTCTCTCTCTCTCTCGAATGTTCATCGTCTCATGACATCCAAGAATTCTCATGGCGACGACAATTCCTCGAAGGTCAGAGGGAGGACACCGCAGCCCCCACAGGTTTGCAGGAAGAGAACTGCAGCATGATCAGCCCACGCCCATCATTAGTCCCCACTGGACCCGACAGGTTAGTGAAAATCAGTTCATATCAATGAGGGAAATAGCAAATCACCGTCAGGCAGGCAGCGCAGTAACAATGTGGCAGCAAGAACCACTGATGGACACTGAAATTAGTGGGCAAAGTATAGTGAGAAATAGGACAGTCTCGAAGAACCTCCCTCTAAGGTATTTATTCATTAAAAATGGAAAAAATAGAAACGTCACATTGGACAAGCCCTGCAGGTACCGCTCTAACCAAGTGATCAAGGTTAATGTCATTGCCAGTATCCTGACATGTTGACATCAGGTATCTCCTGATGTGATGCACTGAGATCATCTTCACTTCTGGGGGGGGGG